GGGGTGGCCGGCCCGGGCGACAAGGCCGAGTCAGGCGCCCGAGGACCGGGGCAGCCGCAGGCCAGCGCGCAGGGTGCAGCAGAGTGCCGAGACCACGCACTGCTCGCCAGGCGTGAGCAGTCGAACACCGTCAGCAGCAGGCCTGTTTCCCTGCGACTGCTTAGCCGCATTCTAAGGAAGCTATGACTTCCGCAGACCTAGTGAGCCAAAAGTCGCATCTTCAAACGGCGAAACGCCAAGGGGGGGCGCGCAGGCGAAGTCGCCTAGGGTGGCCAGCCCCCGCTGCTCCCCGCTGCCCTGCACTGGCTTCCCAGCGGTGCCGAGGGCGGGCGGGGGTGGGGTCCCCACACCCAGCGGCCTCCAGGCTCAGCAACTCAGCTCGACATGGCCGCTGGCAGGTGGCTCTGACCTCACGGGGAGGTCCCCCGGGGACCCCACTTCAGAGGCCAGTCAGAGCAGCCCCATGCTTCGGCCCAGCTATAAACCTTGGTCCTCACCAGCCCTCCTCGGGCCCCAGCACCTGCTAAAATCACAGACCCTGGCACAGACGGCCGCTCTCGCGCCCACTTAGCACAAGGGTGGTGCCAGGGACACGAATGACCAGCCAGATGGGGAGATTCTGAGGACAGGCCGGGAGCTCCCACGGCTTCTCCCGGCAGACCCCTCCCAGCACCCCAGGAGGCCCCACCCTTTTGTGTTTTCGTGGGGGGCTTCACTGCGGAGGCAGGGCCAGTGAGGTGCGGGGCACTGGCCACCGCAGACCCGCGGGGCGACTCGTCTCCTCAAAGGGGCTGAAAGTCCCAACCCTCGAATCCCAGGGTCGGTTCCGACGGCCAGCGCCCACCTGGGGGTGCTTTCCAAAGTCACCTCATTATGGGAAGCTCGGGTGGAGCTGACTGAGATGAGGGGACATTCCCCTGGGGCAAGGCCGAGGTCTGAGCAGCCGGGAGCTGGGCCGGAATCCTGTTCCCTTGGCCAGGCCGCTGCTGCCCGCCCGCCGTTTACCCGGAGGCTTACCCAGGGACGCGGTCGCCTTCCCCACCACGTACACCGGCTTGGCACCCCATTTCTCTCTCAGAGACTCTTTCCAGGCTGCAAAACATGAAATGGCGCGTGAGTCGCCAGACCAAAGCGGCCGTCTGACCAGGGCCCAGCCGGGGCTGGCCGCAGAGATGCGTGGGTGCGGCTAACGCTCTCAGCCGAGCACAGAGCGCGCGCTGCCACCACTCGGCCGCCCCCAGCCCCCCTCGCCGTCACGTGAGCCTGCAGAGCGGGTCCCCGCGCCTCCGGAACAAGCCGAGCCGGCCCGCGCGCCCGTGGTGACTGAGCAAAACCTGACGCAGGCAAGAGGCCACCACCTCAGGGACGGGCGCGCGAGGCACGAGGGCAGCATACCGGTGACAGACCTCAGGCTCACAGAAAGTTTAACGGGAGACAGTGCTGCCGATACAGGAAAAACCCAAACACCTCTAAATGTGGATTAAACTGCAGGAAGCAACAGGTGGCGCGAACACATTGTCAACCACCGAATGTCCAGTCCCTAGGAGCAAAGTGCCGTCAGCGCGTCCTTTCTGAGGCCCAGTCACCCCCAGGACGCCCCTTCAGTCAGCACTGAAGTTGGAGTCTCTCCCTCTGCTGCCCCTGCCCACACATACAAGTTTTTACAGTTCTCTGTAGCAATAACAGTAATAACAGGTGCAGGAACCAGAAAGCCAGACTTCAGGCCTTTGTCCTTTACAGCAAGAGTGCTCCCTACCCCTGGCCTGGCGGGTGCTCCCTGCCCCTGGCCTGGTGGGTGCTCCCT